CCGCTCTTACCGCAGGTGTTAATGAAGAATTCACTCTGGAAAGCCACAGGCGCGTTGAAGGAATTTCATCCCTAATGTAGAGATTAGGAGACCTGTAAAATGCAGATTGCATGTTCCAGAAATGATCAGGCGACTGCAGACCATAGCAGTGGTTTCAAGCTGTCATTCTGTGATACTGTGTCTATGTGTATACGTGTAATGTGAGCTTCCCTTTGGGTCTTCTTTGATACACACTGGGTGCATCTACACATGCATTAAGGTACTTTAAATTTAGTACCTTCAATGTGAAGTACAAAAGAAATGTGCACTAGACTGCCTTAATGCAGAGTAACAAATGTTATGATTTTTATATGATCCTTAATGCTTAGTAACCTACTTTACTGAACATTAGCATAATTGTAGTTTTGTACATGATGTTTTAATGTGCAATATAATAGTCTACTGCACATTAAACCGCATGTGTAAACGCTTCCACTGAAACCTGGTTTAAGTCACCCAGGAGATTTGCAAAAAGTTTAATCAGTAGATTAAAGTCTTTAAAGTCTTCAAATTCAGGTCAAAGAAACTGACTTGGAAACTGACAATGGCTTTGAAATCCAGCCAGCGCTGGGGTGTTGAGTGAGCGTGATGGGGAAGACAGCAGAGTTCTAATCTACTGGTGATAAGAATTTATCTTATCCTCACGCCTCTGACCTTGCACTAATCTGAGCTGCTTTCCCTCATGTCCCCTTGCTCCTGTCTCTTAGGTAACATTGGGTCTATGCAGCTTTTCTCTGCATCTCTTGTTACAGATCCCAGGTTAAATCAAACGCAGTGCGGAGGGACGGTAACAATAGCAACAAACTCCAGGCACAGCCTTCAACCTTCAGAGCCTTCTTCCTTCCAGTGCAGCCCCAGACATAGTGCTGTGGTCTGGGCCTGTCCTCTTGGCCAGTTGAGATGAAACAAGCTGCTGCCACCTTTGTGTTTCTGCTGCAGTGAGTGTGCACAAAAATCTAAGCCGCAAGGAGAAATAGCTTCTGAAATTGGCTTTCCAGGCTTCCAGTGAGGAAGCAGGGGAGTCCTTGGCATCCCCAGAACCTGCACTGGCCTCCCCCAACTTAGTCACCTGCAGAGGAGACAGGAGAGTTTCTTGTGTTTTGGGGGCTGCCCCTTCCCCCCCACAACAAAGTGCAGTTATAGCCATGTAGGCCTGGACTTGCTCTGCTCACTACTGGATACAAGCTTCGCCATGAGACCGCTGTGCACGTCCTTAATCTGTAAGTAAAAGGGGGCACCCGTGTGCTTCCCTCTGAACAAGGAGGGGCTCATTCATGGTTTCTGCCAAGGTTTGGTGCAGCTTGAACTAGGTCCAATGACCTCACTGCGACGTGGTTGGAGTCCCTTGTACAGGTAGACCCTCATGCTTCAGCTGATCCCTGTGGCCTCCGGGTCAGTGGGAGCTCCCTGACCCAGGTCCAGCCTCCATCCAGGGAGCAGGGACCGTGCTGGGCTCAGGGGCTCACAAACAGATAGGAGGGAGACCGTGGAGCCACTGCCGAGCCCACTTGTGGAGCGTTAGGGGTGGGATGGAGGTCAGGTCTGAAGCGCGGAAGAAGTAACAGCCACAGGCACCAGGTCCAGCAGCTGTGTTCTACACAGAGATGTGATGAGGCCTTCATGTGGGTTGGGGTACATGAGCGCTCTCTGCCAGACACTTCCAATCACAGCAATTCCTACAGAAAGCACCAGTTTTACTACCACTAGGAGGCTGCTGATTCCCTGTTCTAAAGCTAACATTCCCTATATCCTGCTCCCCAATATCCACATCTGCACACAAAGGAAGAGTTGCCTCTGCAGCACCAAAAAACAGCCTCTTCCTTGTCCTCATCTTCCTCACATGCTCCCTGCTGCAAACCCCCTCACTGCATTGCCAGCTCTGCTCAGCCTTTCCTGCACCAGACTGCGAGGGAATGCCCTGGGCTGGGCCAGCACAGAGTGACACCTCTTGTTTCCCCTTGGGGGCTGCTTGGCAGATGTCCTGGCTGTCTTGGGGCTGGAGGCTGTAATGCAGAAGGAGTGTGAGATCGTAGGGATTCTGCAAGACAAGCTGAAGTACAAGGAACGGCTCCAGTACATGGTCAGTCTTTCCCTCAGGGTCACGCTGCAGTGGGGTACTTGGTGTGTGCTTTTGTCACCTTGCTCCTGCCTCTCCTGCTGGGGATGGCCCCTGGTCCTGCTTGTGCCTGAACCCTTGCTGGCTGCCGGGGAGCCTGGCCTGTCGCCAGAGCTGTTACTGGGTGTTTTGCAACCTAGTAAATGCAGCGGCCACGAGTATTAGAACCTGGAGCCTGGCACTCGCCTCAGGAATCCATGGTCTGGCTCTTGAGTATGTGCCCTGTTTTCCGAGGTGCTCCGCATCCAGTAGTTCCCCTGATGCCCACCCACCAGTCAGTGCTCACCCTCCTGAGCACCACATGCAGCACAGGGACACCTGGCACATGATTTCATGGCTGCAAATTTGGATGCAGGGAGGATCATCACTAGGTCAACTGCCCCAGCCCAGGGAGGCAGGGAGGGGAGAGCAGTGATCTCTGCCACTACAGTCATGTCTTTGTTTGCCTTTCCAGAAGTACTATTTCCCCCTCAACTACACCGTGACTGTGCAATATGAAGAGGTGCTCAGGACATCCAATGTCAGCAGGCTGGTGAGAAGTCGGCTACTGCTTTCCAGATGCCTTTTCTGTCTTTGTGCTGTTTGTCATTGAGTGTCAGTACCTCCCTGGGTGCAGCACTGCTGCCACCTTTGGGCTTTTTTAAAGCCTCTTACCTGGGGGAGGCCCATGCCAGGCATATTCCAGGCCTGCATCACATGGTCATGGCTGGTAGATCTACCCATGCCAGACCTGGGCAAGCAGAGCTCCCACAAGTGTCAAGAATGTGAGATGCCAGGCCACCCTGGTGTAGGAGTGCTGTGCACTCCTAGGCTCTGCATTGGGTATTTCTGAAACCAGCTTCTACCTGTTTCTCATTGCATCTGGGTGGGGAAGGAACAACTGTTTACTAGCCCCGATCTCTGGAGTTCTGTAATCGGGCTGGTTGTCCTTATTTCACATAGGGGAGCCAGCTGCCAAAGCTGAACATGGGGATGAGAGGTGCCTTGGAAATACCAGAGCTGGGTTAGGAAAAGTTGGATTATGCATTAAGTGAATTGCAGGGATTGTCAGATCCAGTTCTGATTTTTCCAATGCGCTTGCAGGCAGTGAGCAGGGGGCAGGTGCAAAAGCTGGAACTGGGTTCTCCTGGAGTTGAGGGGCTAAGCGTGAGTCAGGTAGACAAGCTGGAAAGCAGGGCACTGATCTCAGGGAGTGCTGGGGTCTGGACTGGTGGCCCTGGGGTGTTGGCTGGGAGAACAGCTGTTAGCAGGTGCAATGGAGGAGGCACAGCACTGGCTGTGGCTGGGAGCCACGTTGGGCACTGGGCTCTCCAGGGGCTGGTGGAGCCCAAGCAGCTTCCCCCAGGAGGCCATGCTCACACTCCCTTGCCAGGCTGACTCTTTGCTCCCCAGCGAGATGAGGCCATCACGGAGCCATCACTGCGGTACCTGTGGTTCCATGTGAGCTCCCAAGTGGTGCTGAAGATCCGCGACGTGCTGCCAGAGCAACACCCATCCTGGAGCTACACGCAGGAGCTCTGTGACCTTCTTGAGGGCCTGGGCGTGGAGTACGAGAAGTACAAGCAGGTGGGGAAGCTGACCACCAGTAGGCACCCATACACACACATACACACACAGCCCCTAGGAGTGGTCCCTTATCTCACACAGCACTGTGTGTCTGCTACTTTCCAAATGCCCATCATGAGAGGCTCCAGTGCCAGGAAAGCAAAGGGAGAGCAGAGCTGACTCTGGCAGGCACTGCTGTGGATGAGCTGCTAGGGGGACCCTGATGCCAGGCAGCCACGCAGTGGGTGAGTGATGCCTCCATCAGCTCTACTCAGTGGATCTGTGCAGTGGGCCCATGGGATGGGACAGCAGGTGCTGTGTACCTGGCCAGGAGGACAGCATTGGTGGAGTAATGCATAGTTAGGGGTGGGGAGTGGCAGCTGGGAAATCAGTGATGAAGAGCAACAGACACGAGGCTGTAGTGCGCAGCCTGGCAGGCTCAGAGCAAGGGCTCTGGTTTCATTGGGAGCCGAGGCCCAAGGTCCAGCCTTACCCAGCAACATTGGGCTCCTCTGCAATGCACCAAGCCGGGGTGCCTTTCGATGGCTGTACAGTGTTGAGGATGCCTGTCCCTGTGCTGCCTGGTAGATGCAGTACAGTGCAGCCCTACCCAGGCAGTCAGCTATTGAATTGGAGGCAAGAGAGGCAGGCAGGCAGCTGCCAGCACCCTCCCAAGAGGCCGAGTGCCTGGAGGCACTGCCCAGGGCCAGTGATATGACCCTGGCAGAAGATGCTGGCTGCTTGGCCCCGTCTGCCGGGGTGCTCGGCCTGTGCCAGGAGGCGCCGATAGTTACCTGTGACATGGCAGGGTGGGTTTTCATCAGGTTCTGCTCAGGACGAGAGTGCAGCAGGCTCCCAGGGGGTGACGGGGCTCTGGGCCACAGGGCAGCAGGCAGCTGCAGATGTGGGCAGAGCTGCCAGTGCCTGGGTGTTGCTGCCCCCTGCTGCCCTGCCAGCAGCTGCCTTCCCTCCTGTGGGTGCCTCACCCCAGAGCTGGCCCGGTCCCTTTTGCTGATGTGGTTGTACAGATGTTGTCTTTCCAACTGGTTGGGAAAGGGAGAAGGATCTGAACAGGGAGATGAATGGAGAAGAGCACAGAGAAGCTGGAGCATTGGTGGTTCAGTGATAGAATTCTTTCCTGCCATGTGGGAGGTTGGGGTTTGATTCCTGGCCAACGCAGCTTGCTGGGTTTTTTTCTTTCCTAGGCTCTCTTACAGTGTAGGGAGGGCAGTAGGAGCTGGGAGATTGCAAACTCGACTCCTCTTCCATGTGCAAACCTTACAGGAGCTTTACCAGCTGTCAGAACCTCAGCAGCTTGCCTTTCCCCCACCTTCGACTGAATTAACCACACAGGGATTGGGGCCAAAGGAAAGTTGGGGGTGTGGCAGCCTAATGACTGGGTAGGTGCCAATCTTTCTCCCAATTAATCAACTTGCTCTTTCAGCTAAATGAAATTCTTAATCGCTTACTATCATATACAATTCTGGAGACTTTCCATGAGAGTTAGGGAATTTTTCTCAGGGGCCTGGACAAATTTCACTTTTATGCTTCTGGGCTTTGTTTGAATTATTATTATTATTATTGAACCTTCCTTGATTTGAGAGTTGGTGACACAGTAAACCAGCTCTCCCTGTACTTGTGTAGTCCTTTCTAACCTTGCTGTCTGATTGATCCCCTATTCTATCCACTCTACTTCCTTTATTCGTGTTCTTTGTTTTCCTTTCCTTTCTTCCACACTTACACACACAATTGTCTTCTCTGGGCAGTCCCATTCTTCTCTGATCACTTGTCCAAAGAATTTTAACTTCTCTCTCTCCATGGTGTTGATGTGATGTCTTGTCATACCAAACTTCTCATTGTCATTACATTATTTGGTATCCATGCAATTCTCAGTAGTTTTCAATTGAACTCTTAATTTCTCCATTTTTAAGGGTCCAACATTCACAGCCACTTATGGCTACTGTCCATACAGTAGCCTGCAAAATCTTTTTGTTTTGAAGTCAGCCCCTGTTTTCTTCCTGATCCTTGGTAAGTTTTCTAGGGCTGTTCTTGCTAAGCCTAATATTTTTTGTATATCCTGTTAACATGCACCATTTTGACTAAAGACTGAGCCCAGATACACAGACAAGTTAACTTGCTCTTGCTCTTTCCTATTCATCAGCATCCTTAGGTTTTTTTGTTCTTTTCTTATGGCCATTGTCTGTTGTCTTCAGGATATTAATCGATAGTCCATACATTTTTCCTAACGTATGCAATCTGCTAACCAAATCCCATAGTTCCTCAGATAATAAGGCAATCCTAGACTTCATTACCTGCATGCCTCAAATTATTTATTAATCTTCCAGCTATCTTAAGGCCTCCTCTAAGATCTTTCTGTACTTTCCTCATTGCCACCTCGGCTTGACTGTTGCATAGGTAAGACAATACTACGCATCCTTGCCCTCCACCTCCCGTGACTACAAGCCACTCCGATCTTACTCCTGCCACTTTTGTAGCTGATTTCTGATTAAGACACAGCTTCCACAGCAGTTCAACTAAGAGTAGCGGGAAGTCTTTCTCAAGCATCATTAGCCATGACTTATCATGCCCCACCAAATCAGATGCCTTAGTGAAGTCGACAAAGCAGAGATATAACAGTGGTTCCCATTCTCAGTCTTTTCTCATCATGATGATCCCTTGTGTCCTTTCCGGGTCCAAACCCTGCTTGCTCAGTGATAGTTTTTGGTCTGCTTTTCTTGGAATCCTTTCCAGAATGGTTTTTAACAAAACCTTGCTCACATGTGATACCAAAGACATTATCCTGCAGTTTATACATCCCTGGTGGGCAGCTTTCTTCATCATTGAAATATAATCTTGTTAATTAATCAGGCCACTCCCCATGTTCTGAACAGACTGCATCATGTCTACTTCTACCTCTCCATCCAGCTTGAGATGTTCTATGGCCAAATCAGTCAGACCTGGAGCATTTTTATTCTTGACCCTTTTTATGGCAGGTGTTACTTCTGCTTTAATTGTGGTGGTTCTCTTTCAACTGCCCAGTCTGACTGCTCAGTTCACAACTACGTCTTTACATCCTGCTCTAGACAAGACCTCTGGGACTGGGCTGAAGAGCTGCATTATTCAGGTTATGGGTGAGTAGAAAGCAAGTCAGAGCAGAGCATGGAGTGAGGGTCTGTGTCAGGTGCTGGTGGCTGCTGGTTAACTCCCTAGACTATTGTTTCTGCAGGGGGATATGGATATAGTTGTTGCTGACCTGGTGAAGAGGATTCATGATGCTGAGGCAGGGAGCAACAGGAAGCCTGTGAGACCCAAAGCACTGCTGGATAACTGCGTCAAGGTCATGAGGATGCTGTACAGCACTCCATGTGAGTAGTGACCAAGAACAAAAGCTTGGAAGAAGCAGAGGTGGCTCCTAGTCCGCCAGGTAGCAGGGTCAGGGGGTGATGTGAAGCCCTAACTTCAGATGGGTAATTCTAGCTGGGAGCTTTGGAGAGCAAGCATTACTTACGCAGTGAAGGTCACCCAGGGGAGTATATCTGAGAGGTATGAAGGGGCTTTTGTACATTAAAGGCTGCCTGTGACATCATGTTCATTGCCCTGTGAGCTGAGCAGAAGAAACATAGAAACTAGGGTTACTCAGAACTTGCAAACAGCTGGTGACCCAGCCTGAGAGCTCTGAGTTGCCTGTTTTGCATGTCAGTAACAAATACCTCCTGTCTCTCATGCTGCAGGTAAATGGGATTCTGCCTAACATTGCAACGGGAGCATTACCATCTCCTTTACCTCTCCATGCCTTCTTTGGTCTCCATAGTGTCTTCGGCCCTCTCTTTCATGCTGCACGATCCCAGCTTCTATGTAGTGCTGTGGCTCTTGTATGTCCCCAGGGCCCAGATGAAGCCAATATGTTCCAAAGCATGATCCAAGATGTGCTACAGTCAGAGCATTGATTTGCCGTCTCAACAAAAATTGAGAGTGAAGGAGAGGTGTGAAGACCTTTATCCACTAGTGCCACATGAAGGGCTTGGGACATTTCCCTGGGCCTGAGAAGTCTGGGAAGGGAGCAGCTTCTTCTGCCATGACTAAAACAAATCCACCTCTTCTTTCTCTTGTGAGCAGCTAATGGCTACCCCTCTTGATATTTGCCACAATAGATCCCTGAGGAACAGCTCTACAATAGCAATGGCAACTTGCTTCAGTTTGAAGGCTTGTCCCAGAAGTGAGTTAGTCATCCATGTGAGGCTCCATGGTTCTGAGAAGAGGGCCTGACATGGCCTGGCAGTGATGTGTATGCATACTCTGTTCCCCATCTTGAGTGAGGAAGGCCAGCTGCATCACACCTCCAGAACACGTATTTGGGGTAGGGCCACAACAGCAGAGATTGCTGCTAAGGGATGCTGAACCTCTACTGGATGCACTCTGGAGAATGCTGGTGACTGGGTTGTCAGGAATATGCCAAGATCCACACACTTCACACAGAGCCACCATACTTCAAACGTCACTGCTCAGTCTTATCCCACCAAGGAAGGAGATAATGACTTGGCACTGTCCTTGAAAAAGGTGGTATCAATCCAAGGCAGGAATAAAACATGTTGTCTTGGACAACTTGTGTGAGGGACCACACACAGCAATGCCTCCCATTCCTCCCTAGTGCTGGGGCGTGTGACTGGGCAAAGGCCTGTGATGGTCAGTGCAACTGGCAGTAGCAGCAGTGACCAACAGTGACTTTTCCTACAGCTTGTTGTGTTGTGCTCCCTTCTGGAGTGAGCCGGTTGGTGCAGGAACCATAAACCTCCAGCAAGTGTCATGCGTGTTGCCCATCCCTCTGTCTAACCTGATTTCTGAAGTGCCTGATGTTGTAACTAAGCACCTTAAGCTGAGGCCAAGGTCTGGGGCCCTGTCTGTTCTCTGACTTGGTTCCAGGTTGAGCTTGGGCAGCAGGATGTATGTCTCCCTGGGCGAACATCTCCTTTCTATCCTCAATGATGTCACGCTGTTCTTTCTTTCAGTGTTGCCAACTGCTCTGATATATCGCGAGTCTTGTGATATTTTGCCTTTCCCTAAAGCTCCAACACCAGGGGTCTCAGCTTTCATTAAAATGTACATTTCCCGCACTTGTGGTTGCAGATACACTTGAAAAGCTGTCTGCTAAAGGCTCAAAAAATACTAAAAATCAATAAAAAGCCAATACAGAGCACTGAAGATTGCCAGATTGATGCAGCTAGAGTATCTTATAACCTGGGGGGCCTGGAAAACCCTCTGATGCTCTAGATCCTCTCTTTCCCTGGATTGGTGACCCAGTGGCTGTTTTTCTGTTCTTTCTCACAGGGTGGACAGTTTTTCTGCTGTAACAAAATGTCCAGTAGAAGACTGTGCAGACTGAATAGCAAGAGACATCCCCAGTCCTCCCCTGTGACCAGGAGCTGTGCCTTCATAGACAGTGAAGTGCTTTCCCAAGAAAAATCATTTAGATGAGGGAGCCCTTTCACCACACATCTGCACAAAAACCCCACTGGAAAATTATCAGAATTTCCCATGGGTTGGGGCAGAAATTCCAGTTTTCAGTCAGCTGCAGCAATAATAAAGCCAGTGAGGGCTGTGCCTCTTTTACCTGACTGACATGCTGTATTCTCCAGGTCTTCCACCAACATCCTCCTCCATGCTGCTGGGATCACCAGGCTTCAGATTTTCACTAACATCCATTCGATGTTGAGCTCTTCTCCAGGCTAGCTGTTTACAGCCGGGGAGCTCTGTGTCCTCACAGCTGTCCAGGCTCTGAACCTCTCCTTTTCCTGCTTCATAGAGGAGTTCAAGCCAGAATGAAGACCCATGTGCAGGGCATTGCTCTCTGCATGTCCAGATCCTCCTACCACAGACAGCACACAGGGGCAGAGTTGCAATTGATATTATTTCCCTGGGGGAACCTTTATGGGCACATGCACTGCTGCCCATTAATTCTCAGTCAACCCCAATCAGCCAGTGGGGTGAGAATGAAGCCACTATCCTACAAGACGTACCTCCTTTGGGTCCCAGATGGTGGGGTTTGTTCTCTGAGGCCAAGGTTGGCCACTGCTCTGGTACTGGTCTCCAGTTAAGACACACCCAGGCGCAGGGGCTTATCTCTGGTCCCTGTCTCACTGCAAGCCTGCAAAACTGGTGGGCATCAGGGCCATGGGTGCTGAGCAAGGGTGCTGTACAAAAGTAGGTGCAGAAACAGTTTGGCAGTGAGAGAGGACAAAAGCAATGGTGTAACCATTGTCATGACTCTGGATGTCTTCTACTTTCCTCAGAAACATGTGATCACTCAAGCCTGAGTTTGCCTTGGATCAAAATGACCTCTCCCCAGTTATTGTCAATTGGGTTGAAGCCAGAAAGATGGTTGCCATATCTGCCTGTGGAAGCAAGATTGGTCCAAAAGTGGCTACCATTGGTGATGTGTAGGGGGTATATGTGGGTGCACGTGCACCCTCTGAGATTTGTCGTGCACCCCCTGAGATTGGCGGGGGGTTGCCACTCGCTCCCCCGCCAATGCTGCTGGCGGCATGTGCGGGTGGTCGCCAATCACCACTCGGCGCTTGCCACCCCTCTCCTCACCGCTGACACTGCTGCAGCCACCTGCGGGCGGTCCTCACTCGGCCCAATCTCGCCACTGACATCTCCGCAGCCAACTGTGGGCGGTCCCCACTCACTGCTGCCATGCCCCTACCGCTGCTGCTGCCTGCAGGCCCCAGTTCATGGTGGCTGCCATCTGCAGCTGCTAAGAAAATGGAAGCCATGTGCAGGGGGAAATGACTACAGTTAGAGGGGCCTGGGAGACAGGGTCCTTGGGGGTTGGGGTACAGCTGTGAAATGTGCACAAGGGGAATGAGGTAGGCATTAGGGGGAAAGAGGTGGATGTAGGAATTGCAGGGGAAGATGAGTGGGAACATTTAAGAAGGAAAATAGGGGGCAGGGAGAAGACAATGCTCAGAAGAGGTGGGAGGCTGAGAAAAGAAGGATGTAAGGGCAGCAGAAGCCCCAATAAGCAAAGAAGCCACAGGTGAGGATAGTAAAGGAAGGACAGGAGGCTGGAAATTCCCCTGTCAGAAACCAAAGCCTTGAGCTAAGAGGGGAAGTGGGTGGCCTGGTGGATGCACAAGCAGGAGGAGGCAACGGGGGAGGCCTTCTCATTCTTCCTGTGAAAGTAGGGCAATAGCTCAGGTCTTCGTGTATGAATGCATGGAGCATGACTGGAACAGCAGAGTTGGTGGGATAGCTCACATGACTGGAGCAGTCATGGATAAACTGGAATGCATAAACTGTTCAGGAAAGACAGGCAGGGGAGAAGAGGGGAAGGAATTTAATGTAAAATTTCATGTAAAAGCTGTACAGCTTCAGTATGAAATAGGACAGGCCAGTAGAAAGTCTCTGGGTTTGGGTCAAAGAAGAGAGCAACAAGGGTGATGTTGTGGTGGGTATCTTCTAGATACCACCAGTCCAGGAGGGTAAGGTGGATGAAGCTTTCTTCAAACAGCTTGCAGAATTTTCAGATCATGGGCCCTGGTTCTCATGGGGGACTTCAATCATCCTGACATCTGCTAGGAGGGCAATACAGCAGTGCACAGGCAATCCAAGAAGTTTTTGGATGGGGAGAGTATTGGGGACAATTTCCTGGTGCAAGTGTTGGAGAGATCAACTAGGGGCCGTGCTCTTTTTGACCTGGTATTCACAAACAGCCAGGAATTGATGGGGAATATCAGTGCCCAAGTGCATGGCAACTTGGGCATCAGCAACCACAAGATGATTGAGTTCAGGATCCTGAGAAAAGGAAGGAAGGAGAGCAGCAGAGTTAGGACCCTGGGCTTCAGAAAAGCATACTTCAACTCGCTCGGGGAACTGATGGTCAGGATTCCCTGGGAAGCCAAACTGAGGGGGAAAGGAGTCTGGGAGAGCTGGTTGTATTTTAAAGAAACCTTACTGGGCACAGGAATGAACCATCCCGATGAGCAGGAAGACCAGCAAGTATGGCAGAAGACCAGCTTGGCTTATCAGGGAACTTTTCAATGAGCTAAAACACATAAAGGAAGCCTACAAGAAATGGAAACTTGGATAAATGACTAAGGAGGAATATAAGAATATTGCGCAGGCATACAGAGATTAAATCAGGAAGGCCAAAGTGCAATTGGAGTTGCAGCTAGCGAAGGACATGAAAGGTAACAAGAAGGGTTTCTACAAGTATGTCAGTAACGAGGTAGATCAGGGAAACTGGCCTCTTACTGAATGGGGGAGGCAACCTAGTGACAGATGATGTGGAAAAGGCTGGAGTACTCAATGCCTTTTTTACCTCAGTCTTCACAGGCCAGGTCAGCTCTCAGACTACTGCATCTGGCAGCAGTTTGGGGAGGAAGTGAGGATCCAATAGTACCAAAGAAATGGGTTAGGAACTATTTAAAAAGCTGGACATATACAAATCCATGGGGCTGGACACGATGCACCTGAGGGCAATGAGAGAGTTGGCTGATGTGATTGAAGAGCTGCTGACCATCTCTGAAAACTTGTGGTGCTCATGAGAAGTCCCCAGTGATTGGAAAAGGGCAAAAGTTGTGTCCATCTTTAAGAAAAGGAAGGAGGATCTGGGGAACTGCAGACTGGTCAGTCTCACCTCAGTCCCTGGAAAAATCATGGAGCAAGTCTACAAGGAATCAATTTCTAAGCACCTGAAGAAGAAGGTGATTAGGACCAGTCAGTAAGGATTCACCAAGGGCAAGTCATGCCTGACCAACCTGATTGCCTTCTATGATGAGATGACTGGCTCTGTGGATGCAGGGAAAGCAGTGAACGTACCTACACCTTGACTTTAGCAAGGCTTTTGATATGGTCTCCTGCAACATTCTTGCAAGCAAGCTAAAGAAGTACTTGTTGGATTAATGGACTGTAAGGTGGATAGAAAACTGGCTGGAGCATCGGGCTCAGAGGGTAGTAATCAATGGCTTGCTGTCTAGTTGGCAGCCAGTGTCAAGTGGAGTGCCCAGGGGTCAGTCCTGGGGCTGGTTTTGTTCAATATCTTCATCAACAACTTGGAAGATGGCATAGAGTGCACCCTCAGCAAGTTTGCAGATGAAACCAAGCTGGTGGGAGTAGTAGATATGCTGGAGGGAAGGACTGAAATTCAGAGTGACTTAGACAAATTGGAGGATTGGACCAAAAGAAATCTCATGAATTTCAATAAGGACAAGTATGAAGTCCTGCACTTAGGAAGGAAGAATCCCATGCACCGGTACAAACTGGGGACTGACTGGCTGGGGAGCAGCTCTACAGAAAAGGATGCGGGAATTATAGTAGACAATTAGCTGAATATGAGCCAACAGTGTACCTTTTGTCATAAAGAAGGCTAACAGCATACTGAAGTGTATTGCCAGCAAATTGAGAGAAGTGATTCTTTCCTTCTATTTGGCATTGGTGAAGCCACATCTGGAGTACTGTGTCCTGTTTTGGGCCCTCACTACAGAAAGGATGTGGGCAAATTGGAGGGAGTCCAGCAGAAGGTAATGAAAATCATTAGAGGATTGGAGCACATGACTTCTGAGGAGAGGCTGAGGAAAGTGGGCTTATTTAATCTGGAGAAGAGAAGACTGAGGGCAATTTAATAACAGCCTTCAACTACCTGAATGGTGGCTCCAAAGAGGAATCTCCATCCTTAGAAGTTTAAGATCCAGCTAGACAAAGCCTTAGTTGGGATGATATAGTTGGAGATGGTCCTGCTTTGAGCAGGGGGTTGGACTAGATGACCTCCTGAAGTCCCTTTCAACCCTAATTTTCTATGATTCACTGATCATGAGGTTTCTCCTCTGCCCTTAAGAATCCTCCGATTTTTCTTAAGGAGTCCAGAGGAAGCCCTGTCCAGTGGTTTTGCCCTGGCTGCTGGGGAAGGGTGGACAATAATGGCAAACTAGGGATGCCAAGGTCCAGCTCTAGACATGTCCAAGTACTGCAGCAGTGGAGTGGTGTTCAGATGACTACAATTGTGTGTCAAGACAGGTTGGGGATCTCCTCTTGCTTGTGCTGGTTCTTTGGCCTCCAAGTTAGTGTGATAGAGAATGGGCAGGGAGAGAGGAAGGCACAGAGAACTCAAACTCTCTGGAAGGATGCAGTGGTTCCGGGATAAGAGTGGGGTTCTGAGTCCTGAGGAATGGGCTGTACTGAGTAGGGATGAGCTGTAGTGAGGCTAAAGTGATGTGTTTTATCCATTGGAGCAAAGCTTGTATCTTGGAAAAATATTAAAAGCAGCAGAACCCCATGAGAGCAGTGCCTTTGATAGCTCAGCTGGTAAAGCAGGAGACTGTAGCATTCTCTTGGATAAAGTAAGTCCTCCCAAAGCCTGAAACTGAATGAGGCAGACAAGGTTCCTTGGGTGAATTTGATATCTTTTATTAGACCAATCCAAATGGTTGGAGAATAGTTATTAAGCAAGCTTTCGGGTTTAAAAACCCTTCATCAGGCTAAGGAAGCTGCAGCAGTTGGTGTGTGCTCTTCCTGGATGGAATGACAAGTAAAGAAGCCAGGGGCTGGGCTGGGCTGGGGAGTCAGTTGCCAGGCAGATTATAATGTATCAAAAATCCAATGTCTATGTTTAGTGGCCCTCCTGTGAGAAATGTGCCTCCACCTGTAGGAGGGCCACTCTCTCTCCAATCTCTCAGTCCTGATCCTCAAGGGAAACTTACACAACACTTCCCAGAGACGAGCCTATGAGCTCCATTTCATCAACCTGCTGGATACTAGAGATCAGGAACTGAACATAGACATTGGATCAGTAGGGGGTGCTTTGGGACTGAGCTGCCCACCTCACTGTGCCTGACCAAAACCAAGCTTTGGATGCCTCCTCAGGGACGCCAACTTTTGGCCAACTCCCTTCCTGGAGCACACCCACTGCCACCACCCGAGCTCCGGTCTTTGTTAGGGCTCTGTGCCTACCTCTGTGGGGTACGCAGGCCGTGTAGTCCTAGGGGTTGCTTAGCCCCAGCAGGATATATCTATGTGCTTCCTATAGCCTGAAGCATAGAAAGTAGCCTCCCTTAGCTAGCTGAGCAAAGGGAGCAAAAAGGCTTGCCCAATCCCTCTCAAACAGTTACTGCCAGGCTTGCTATGATTAGAGATGCCATACAATCAATTTGAAAAACATCAGTGTTACCTGTTGGAGTGACATTGGCTGAAGCCTAGCCCCCATGTCGTGTGGTCAGAACTCAGAACAATGGAGAGGCTAGAGCCCCTCCCCCAGCCAGGTTTATGCAGCAAGTTGGTTGCCTAGGTAACCAGGTGGACAGACATGGGAAGAGACAAAGAAAGAGAAAAAGGGGAAAAAAACCCCCAAACCCTAAGTGAGGGAGCAGAGCCACAGGCTCTACAATTTTTTTTGTCCCAGCCTTCTGCCTGCCTTCCTCCTCTTGAGTTTGAGTCTGGCTGGGCTTGCTTTCCCTGGGGCTTTTTGGAAATTGGAGATGGAGGAAGTTAAGAACTGGGAGTTGTTCCCGTGGTGACAGACCAGCTAGTTAGTCACTTGGTAAGAGATAGACCAAGGGTCTGCAGATGTTGTTTACTACTTCACAGATTAAAATGTATCGTTCTTCTCATTCACATATGTGTGTGTTTATTGAACCTGGTGATCATCACTACAGAGGAAACCTGCCTGGCACCTGTCCCAAAGGGGTTTGGCTTCCCTTTAAGAGGCTTGTACAAAGTAACCATGCTGGATGGGGAGACCTGGTTGTGGGCAGTTGGTTAGGAGGAGCTCTGAGCAGGTGTATGTTGTTACCTCTCTCTTCTTTAGTGTCTTAATAAAGTTAACCTGTTTCTGTAAGAAAACTAGGGTTCTTCTGCTGAAC